TTCAACATGTGTGGGAGAAAGTATCGGTATATTAAGCAACACAGCTAATTAAAAGAGGAAATGAAAATCATTCTTAAATGAGCAAAGTTCCACTTCCCCTTTGGTTTCCTTTAATACTATGCATCTTTGAATTACAAATGTTTCTTTAGAAGTGACTTTTAGTAAAAGGTAAAATTAAAGCCTCATTACAGCCCTGCATGATGCATTGGAAATAGAAGAAACAAGCAACTACATCTTGGTTTAGAGCAAAGGTGCATATATGTTTGGTTATTGTTTGGCTTGCGTCATATCTGAAAAGATAGTTCAACTATGGTGACTTTTCTGCTTGCTCAACATACAAGTGTCTTGGCACCACGGCCTTTCTGTAGGCCTGTTTCATAACTATACGTGCTCCACCTAGCCCTTGTAGATGTCTGAGTTTTCAACTTTTGATGGAACTTTCTTTCTTTTGATTACCACCAAAGAGACTCTATTAACTCTATCAAAACCTTGTTTTATTGTGCATCTCTTCATTTGTCCTTTATCTAAATTTTGTTTCTCCCATGCATTTTTCCGGTCATTTTGCTCTAAGCTTTAATTGGCTGTTCTAGCAAGTTAAAAAGCAATTATTACTTTGCTATTGTGTTTTCATCATTTGATTTTAAAAAGAGACTCTCCCTGAAATGCAATGTCAGATTTGTTCTTGCCTAGGTACTTCAAAATATTCTTCTTGATCTTCTTCTGGAACAAAGAGACTTAAGATAGCTTCTAGACCCCTTCGATGTCAGGCCACAGAGGATACTTACTTTGTCACTAGCTGTTTGAATATTCTTATTGCAATGTGGTTGTCACCGACATACCCCCACTCCCTCCCTCTGCCTCTCACCAGGAATGTTCCTCTTCTTTTGATTATGTTTTTCTCACATCAGATAATTGAGTTAAAAGCGTATATAGTCTAGACAAATTCTGCCAGATGAGACAAGATGACAAAGGAGTACATTTTAAGAAATAATGACCAGAAGAGGACATATTGTACACCAGTCCACTCCTGATTAATTGCCTTCATTACTTAGCTCCAGCCACACAAAAGCCACAGGCATTAAGAAATCTGTATACTCTGCTCTCTTAGGCCTATCTTTGCATAATATTTGGAAGAATCAGAGTCATTTCTAGATACAAAGAAGAGAATATCCAGCTAAAACAGAACAGAGAAAAAGCAAAGGTCCTATAAAATGGGACTCAAAGGGATGCTATGAGGAAGACTTGGGTTAAAAAACAAACAAAAATAAAAACAAATGGAAACAAAAATCAAAAACACTTTGTGTTTTCCCAGTCAATATGGAGGCAGAGGAATATATTGAAAATCACCTTGGAGCCAGGAGCGCTCAGTTCTGATCTTGGTTAACATCTCTAACTCACTGTGTGACCTTAGGAAAGTCACTTAAACTTTCTGGGGCTCATTGTTCCCATTTTCAAAATATGGAAGTCAGCCTAGAGGCTTCCAAGTTATTTTGTAGATCTGAAATTCCATGGTACTAAGCCAGGAGATATTATCATCTACCAATAATGCTGCAATAACATAATCTGAGCAGATCACTCTCATCAGGATTACTGGGTTCAAATTTTTTTTATTAACTTTAAGATCTTTGATCAAATTTTAACTTCTCTAAGTCCCAATCACCTCATCTGTAACATGGGGATATTAACAATATCTATGAGACTGGGGTTTTTGGTGAACTAAGAAAGACAATTTGCATAAAGCCTGAGTCTGATGCATAGTGCTCAGAAGGCACTATAATGCGAGCATTTAATGTGGACCACAGTCTTCTCAGAAATACCTAGGGAGAAAACCCAAACATAAACTTGTATTTATTTGTTTGATAAGTTTCAAATCTCCTAATATGATATTTTTTAAAAAATCATCTGTTGGCCAGGAAGTGGTGGCTCATGCCTGTAGTCTGAGCACTTTGGGAGGCCAAGACGGGATGATTGCTTGAGGCCAGGAGTTCAAGACCAGCCTGAGCAATATAACAAGATCCCATTTCTACAAAAAAAATTTTTTTAAAAATTAGTCAGGCATGGTGGTGCCCACCTGTAGTAGGCTAAGGTAGGGGGATCACTTGAGCCCAGGAATTGGAGGTTGTGCTGAGCTATGATGATGCCACTGTACTCTAGCCTGGGTGATAGAGAAAGACCCTGTCTCAAAAAAAAAATCATATGTTACTAGATCAAACCTAGTTCACTGTATTCCTCCTCCTAAATTCTGGCTATCACTTACAATTAATATGTCAGTGTGGCCTAGAGTGGAGCTGGGGAAGTGGGCCTGAGGCAATAGCCAAATCCTGCCCTTCACTGAGCTTCAATGTTAGTCTTTGACAGCCCCTCAGCTTCTGGGGAGTTTACCTCAGACCCAGGGAGCCATTGTCTCTGTCACTAACAAGAATTTAGAATACGTGTGCCAATGGATGATGCAACTTCCATAACGTGCAGAGTCTGAGCTATTCACTAAAGCCAGTCTATGTCCTTAAAAAGGGAAAGCACTCCAAGACCACCGAGCTTTGGTTTCCATGGCAACAACACAGGTCAATAGCTACTGTTACACCTCCACCAGCCTTGATTGCATTCAGCAATGTACCATCTCCTGTGCTTCCTTTTGTTTGAGTCTCTCTCATTTGCCTAATTCCCTTCTCTATTGGGAGACTCTCAAAATGCAAAACTACAGGAACTGAATTTAAATTAAAAGCTGTGAAGCCTTTAATAAAATGCTGGAGAGCACTGTTTATCTTATAATTCATTGACATGTGCTTCTTAAAATCCAGCCCTGTATCCTGAACTTCAGAATCTTGCATCCCATATCCTATTGCAGCTTAGAAATTCTTTGCTTGCAATACCTTGTAGTTTTCGGAAAAAAATCAGCATCTTTTCTGCCTTCTAAGATCATATTCTGACATGAAAATCAGATTTATTAGGATAAAGTCCAAACTCCCTAACTTACTATATAAAGCCCTATATTATCTGACTTTTCCTCAAAGGTACTTCCTTCCTCGTGTGCTTTTCCTTCTACATACTAGTTACATGGTCTTCTACGCCTTCCTTCACCAACCCATCAGGAGTCACTCCGATCCTCTCTTGGGAAGCTCCAGCCACGATGGCTTTCTTTCAGTTTGTTCCCAGAGCATCATAAATTTGTTTGTGCCTCAGGTTCTTTTACATGGTGGTCCCATCCTTAACACTCAGCCCATCTCATTAACATGAATAGCTCCTTTTTAACCCTCAAGTCTCAGCTTATGTGTGTCTTTAGAGAGGCCTCCATTGACTATCTTATTAAATTAAAATCCTATTCACTACACAACCCCACTACTCTCAAAAGCCGAAAGCTTTTTTCTTTTTTTTAAAGCACCTACTACCATTTTTATGTGTGCCATACAGGGCCCACTTAGGGAAATAGAAACCATCTGTTTGTTTTAACAGAGATAATTTCATATAGAAAATTAGCTAAATGGGTATCGACAAACCAAAAGGGGACACAGGTACCCCAGAGATAGTTATTGTAGGAAGCAGCTGCCATCCTTAGGGCGGGGGATATCAGACCTCACAGGAGGAGCCCTGCGGAGCTGGCAGGACTCTTGTCTCCTGCTGGCACCTCGAGAGCTTGGAGGAGTCTAAGGGAGGGCGCTGCCTGGGTCGTGCTGGCACTTCTGGCAGGATGCAGCGAAGCTGGTTTTGGGAGTGAAGGGAGAAACTAGAAAACTGCAAATAACCAGTGATACTGGGGTGAATTACATGGCAACAGCACCTGCTGGAGACGAAAGGAACAAGAAGGAACAAGTCCCTTCTGCTCCTTATTGTCTTCGGATCTTACTTAGCGCCCCCTATTGGTAGAGCCTAAAATGGATCCACCTGGCAAAAGAGGAATGTTTGCAGTTTCAGGCAGAGCAATTCAGAGCTGTATATAAAAGCGTGGATTTAAAGAGGACATATCATAGCTTCATAAAAAGCATAGTATTTATTTGTTCGTTCATTTGTTTATTGTCTTTTAATTCCCACTGGACAGTATGTGTTCAGGACCATGTCTCTCCTTTTGCCTTTTAGTGCCCCCAACCTCTGTCCCCCATGTGCACAAGCAGATAGAAGGTACTCAGTAACTATTCCTGGGATGGATGATAATGGATAGATTTATTAGATTTTTTTTTCTCAAAACTACTTAGGACAATGTACAATTCAATTCTTGTCAATGGATAAAGTATTTAGTGCCTCATGAAATATTGTAGGCATTTGGGCTAACAATATGACTATGAGGCAATTCCTTTCTGTTTAGGTGGTTATTTAAGACATATGAAGTTAAGTAATAAAATGTCATGACAAAGATATTCGTATGTTTAAATGTACTAAGGATTGAAGAGGCAGTAAAACTATAAGTCATCAGAAAAGAAAAAGGTAAATGCATGTTTGGAATGATTCAGAAAACTTGCTGAAGAAGCTATGATCTGAGGCAGATTTGAAAGAGGAGCAGATGAGCAAAGCTGTAGAGGAGGGATGGCTTTGACAGGTCTCGAGATGATTCTGACGAAAGCAGAGAAGTGAGGGATTAGTAGGAGAAATCACTGGAAAAATGAATTGGAACCAATTGTGGAAAATTGTGAATTATGGAGTTAGAGTTATAAGTGTTATGTCTTTTGCAAAGATGAGGTATTAAAAGGTTTTAAGCAATAAAGTAATGTGGCTATTTTTCTGAAGATAAATCTGCCAGTATCATGGGAAATTAATTAAGTAGAAACTAGAGACAGGATGACCACTTAGGGGACTGTGACAATAATTCTGAGTCAGAAAAAGATAGTAAAGGTAGAAATAAAAGAAAGAGATAACAGGCAACATTTAGAAGGAAGAATCAATATAGCATAATGCAGATTTAGTCCAGGGCAAGGAAGGGGAGATACATACAGAGAGAATTCAAAAAGGTGCAGAGAAAGGAGAGACCATCTGATTTCATCAGAGCTTGATTGATAATGGCATCAGTACAATAAAAGTCACAGTGAATATTTATCTTCTAATAACAACACTCGGCATTTTGAAAAGCTACCATTAATCTGGGAGAATGTATATATCTTCATCTTGAGGAATTTCAGAAGTATGAGGCTTCCGGAAGTCATAATAGTCCGAGGATGTCTCATTTCCATAGATATGTTCCTCGAAGTTAGATTGCCGTGTGTTTTCATACAGTTCCTTATCAGTTTCTATGTCAGCTTTGGGGGGACCTGCTTCCACATTTTCATAGTTCTCCTGCATGTCAGTTCCTGCAGCAGTAGATCTCTGGTCTCGGGCTTCAGTTGGGCTTTTACGCCATAAGCCAATAATGTGGTGACTCCAGGAGAATGTTTTAGTATAGTCTTTTCTCCTGCTGCTTCTTCTTTGCAAAAACCTCGGTAAGGTAAATCGTGTGGTCTCTTGGTGTTTCCAGTGCCAAACACACCCAATTCCACAAATGATCATGAGTAAAAGAAGGGAAATTCCTACAGTAATGGCCACTGAACTATTTCCACAGCTTTTCAACATTTCTGAGCAAGCAGTTATGTTTAACAGTTTGGTGTTTCCCTTAATGAATTCACAGGTACAGACCAATGTAATTCCTTGTAGACTAGTATTGTTCAGAAATGAATTTGGAAGCTCTTTTAGGCATTTCGTTTCCAGATTTGGAAGAACATTATACGGTAAAGTCCTGATGCAATTGGAGGAGAGATTGTGTAAACTTGTTTTTGGAGGCTGGCTCTCTTTGTATGTGATGCTATTCACCTTACAACCATTAATGTATAATTGTACCGTATCAGGGGGGATTTTATTCCATTGCACTTCCTTTTCTGTCAATGAATCACAAAATGAAGCAGAAATGAGTGGAAGATAATAGCAGAGTAGAAAACCCAAGAAAAGGGAGATTGAATAATCTGCCATTCAGAAACCTGCTAAAATTAAAAATATATTAATTACATATTTATTAAACAGCATAACTAAAGATCTACCAATTTCCACCAATACATTAAACACTAGCATTCAGTGAGTTCCTGCTTTCAATATAGAATACACTAGCTATTGTGAAGGATGAAAAAGAGTTAGAAGAACCTGTCCCTGCCCAAGTCTCAGTGGTTTTATTACTTAGATCTCAACGTGGTTTTTGACAATAAGAATAACAATTTTTCAAGTGAAAGATAATGTTCTGAATGCAATAGAAAGAATGGGACAAGTGCATACATGTGGAAACATTTCTGTTACCTAGTACCTCCTCTGTGAAGCCTTCCTTACCCTTTGTTGGAGTGGACAGAAACTGATGTCTTTTTCTTAATCACTCCTTCCTCTGTAATCCCATATGAATGAGTCCATTCTGTCTTATAACATGATAACCTAAATGACAGAGAATTGTATGTCTTCTTACTTGGTTAAATGGGCAAAGATCAGACCTTTTCATCTTTATATTTTTAGAAGATAGCATAACACCTAGCACAGAAAAGGCTTTCAATCACTCAATATTTGTTGAATAAAGGATTAGATTTAAAAATGACTCCAAATTTCAGCATCTAATTCTTAAGACTCTAGTTTAAAACTCAAGCTATATCTTCTAAAGCATATAGTTTATAACTAAAACACGGAAAGAGAATTTTAAAGTAAAACTAAATATTTTTGAAAGCTTTTCTAGCACAGGTCTTCTCACAACTTTCAGCAACTTACTTTCATTCAAGATTATTTTAGATTGTTTTCTGATGATGCTTTAAAATAGCAAGGAGGAAGAAAGGAGAATATTCAACTAGGTTGAATGTTCTACTATAATTTTATCAACAAAAGTATATTACTGTATGTTTTTAGCCTAGACACGGAAATGGTTACAATAAATAGTGTTAATAGTGCTTGTGGAATGGTTATTACCATCTATTGAATGTTGTCATCAATAATATTTAGTTAAGAGCTTATTTGGGGCCAACTTCTAAAAACTGTTTTATGGGTTATCTCATTTAATCTTACAGCTGCCATATGAAGTGAGTACAATTGTTATCCTCATTTTATAGAGGAGAAGAGAGGATTAAAAAGGTTAAGTAACTTTCTCAACAATTAAGATGTGACTGAATGAGGATTCAAGTAAAATTTTCCCCAAGGTGATATTTACCCAAATATCTGTAAATGGCCATCAGGTGCATCTATCACTAAATTTGTATAGTGTGATTAGCTCTGAGGTTCTTGAGGGCTGGGAACCATATATTATTCATCGTTGTGTAACCAACACCAACACTAGGCACAGAATAACTAATTTATTGAATATTTGTTAATGAATGGAGCAATCTGCTCATAGGATAACGATAGTAATGATAAAGAGAAAAAACAAAAACCCACAAAGTGGTGCCCTGGTCTCACTGAGTATTCATTTACAATAGTGAACTTTTACACATTTGCTCAAGATTAGAATATATCAATGTGCGAATTTTCAGTTTGGCATTTCATATAACCAAACTGAATATGAAATATGGTTAATTTATAAAATTTATTTGATAAAAATATTGGCACATACAGCCCAGATCTAGATACCTTTTAGTTTCCTTGAAACTTTTGGGAGTAATGTTGGGGTTGAGAACTGTATCGTCTACCACATAAGATTTACAATCAGGAGAGTTCCCTCCTCTAGAAGGCCAGACACTATGCTTGCGTTCAAGGGCAAAACTCTGGCAAATGATTTTAACCCTTAGGACCCATTTGCTTTCTGCAACAGATAAGAATGAATACTATATAAGAACTTTCATGGTATAAATGATTATTCACTTCAGCAATTATTTACCAGAATATTTGAAATAAACTTATAAAATAAATTTCAAATATTAATGGAAATTAATGAACTTTTTAAGAAGCACTAGGCCTGCAGCAGAAGTGGGAATGAGAGATGGAGAAGTCTAACTATGGGCCCCTCTGCAACTGAGGATAAGGTAATAAATTGCCCTCTTAATTTCCAAGAGGAGAATTTACTTTTATTATCTATGTTATCCTATGTAGAGAAGACATTAAAAGTTAAAATTATTTGTCTCAGAGGTATTCAATGAGATAAAGACAAGAAGACTTTTTACAAGAAAGGAAATATATCGTTTCCCTTTCTTGAAAATAACATTATAGGGAAAACCCTGCAAGACATAAACAAAGACCTACTATAATGAAAAGTATATTTTAAACAATAGCCCTTCAGATATGGCTTAACATCTCAGTAAGTTTCACTTTGTCCAATGTCAAGTAAGACTCTATTTTAATATTGGAAAACATTTCCAACAGGTTACCTGATAACCTGAAATAAGAAATAATTTTTCTTAAAATCACAAATTATTGATAAACTTTCAAATAAGATAATGGCTTTCTGTCTGTGAACAAGGTGACAGCACAGCATAATCATATACTTGTGAGCATATATACTCATAAAGAAACAATAACATCATTCTCAGTTTGCAAATCAGCTTTTCCCCTTATGGCTACCTAAGGTAATTTTTCTGAAAACTGTATTTGACAAGATAAAAAAAAATCATTGATCAATCAAAAACAAACATGTTTCTTAAAGTTTTTCATTGCCCAAACACCTTAAATCAGGTTGTAACTTACCTCAAGATTGATGTGCCAAGCTCGCTGTTTTGTTCTTTTGCTTATGTTTTAAACTTGCTCTGGTTGAGAACTTGTTCCTCTTTTTCACTTGGTCAGTCACTTCCTTCTTTACTCCTTCTTTCAGGTTTTTTAATACTTGCAAAGTTTCCTGGCTCTAGAGGAAGTTCTTATCAGATGCACCAGAAGTAAGAAAACTAGCAGGAGTCTTTGAATAAGGAAGTTTGGCCCTTTATGTTTTAACAAGTAATAATTTTTCAACTAGATCAGAAAATGGTGCATAAGGTCTAGATGGGTTTTTATTTGAGCAATATTTGCAGTCTTCACCCTAGAATCAATAAAAGTCATTTCACTTGTACTTCAAATTTTTTAGTAAAGAAATATTTTTAAGTGTAGTCACACATAGGTCTTGTTTTTTTTATTTGTTTGTTAGTATGATTGCTAGAACAGTCCTCACTTCAAATATCATGTTACATTCATACTTGTCTGTCAAATCAATGTCCTAATTTTGGTTTAGAAAATGTTAGTATTATTTCAAATTTATTAAATAGGAGTTGCCTAAAGTGTATTCTGAGATTCACTACTTCTGGGATATGATAGTAGGCTTTCCATTAAATAAATTCGGAAATTCTGCTTACCTGGAAATTCATAGGCTTATCAGTATATTAAAGTCCCAGCAGTCCTACAGCAAGCAAACAAAATAAAGCTAAATAAGAAAGAAAAACTGTTCAATTTTGCATCATAATACTAGTCAGCTGGTACTTAGCACTTAATACCTATTCTAAGCCTTTTGTGGAATACTCAGTAAATCTTGACAACAACACTAGGAGGGAGAAACTCTGTTATTAGTCCTATTTTACAGGGGAAGAAATGGAAGAACAGAGAAATAAAATAATCACTTCCCTCTCACGGCCTGCAGTCTGCCCCCAGCACCTGTGTCCCAAACCACTATATTTCCTGCCTTGCTAGATTGAATAACATGTTTTCCACATAGAACCAAATAGAACATATTGACAGCATCTCTCAGAATCAAGCTCCATGGAATACAAAAGAGGGAGATGCTAACTTAGAGTGTAGATGAATTGGACAGATGAGATGAAGAAGCAATGGAAATTTTGCCTTTCTAAATTGTACTGGAACATTTTTAGCCATAGAGGATTAACTTTGGATAGGTGGCTTAAAATAAAAGGATTTAGTTACTGAAATACCTACTGGGCATTGGAAGAACGGCATATGTTATCAATACATATTGAGCATTGACACTGAGGCAGGGATTGTGCTAAGTGACATGGCTGCAACAGTGAATAAGCTCCCTGAAGCAATTAGTCTAGCAGAGGGGTTGCTGCACCCACAGATCATTTCAGATCACTGTGGCTAAGGAGGACATGGTTATGGACAGGGACAGTGGGAGCAAGGAAAAGAGGCATCCAGCTGAGGGAGCTCAGGGAAGGTGAGACCCAAGCTAAGCCTCATGTAATAAGGTGACCAAGACAGAATAGGAATGTTCCAGGAAAATATCTCGTAGTGAAGGAAGTTATGAAGCTATGAACTTGATGTGCTGTACAGTCTCACCAGTATATTTAACTGCAATATTAACCACCCTCTGAATAATACACACACACCCCTGCCCATGCACACAACCCACACATAATACAATAAATATAATATTTGTGTAAAATTATAGGATTTATTCTAGAAGTCAGGACAACTGGGTGTTCATCCAGTTTTGCCCTCTGAATTTAAGAAAGTTGTTCAACTCCCTTATTACTTAAGTTTTTCTATGGATAAATAAAATGGAGGGATATTGGCTGGTACTTTACTCGAATAGGAGATTTTTAAGGTAATATATATGACCATTCTTTTAGTTTATAGAAGAAATGCTGTATAAATTCAAAATACAATTACTATATAATTACCATTTGTATGGATTAGGTTTTATGTCTTGAATTCTATGTTTTCTTACTTTCTAATCTTTGGTTAAGCAAGGCACATTTTTTTTTTGTCTTGTAGTTCCTTTTTAATCACAGCAACTATGTCTAGGTTTTCTTTTCCTGCTTTTTCTTCTACCATTATATAGTGTTGATGGTAAAAGGCCTAGGAAGTAATTTATATTCTATACGATAATTTAGACTGGATAGTTTATTCAAGTAAACCTTCCTCTCCTATTCACTGATGATAGTAACCACTTTACTTGCGAATTAAATTCCTAGCAATTTGTTGGTTAGTATCTATTTATTTTAAACATGTCCTTCTTCAGATACTTGAACCGAGTAATATCAATGATAGTAGACATGGAGAAATGTTTCTGCATGTGGACTTTATTTGAAAACTTGGAGGCTAAAAGCATCTTCCTGGATACTCTGGAAGGAGCTCTCAGACCCCGTGTTACTTATTAAGGGTAGTCTATTAGTTTGAGTGAAGGAATTCTTTACTAAACTGTAGGTAGGTTTTGAGCTGAATTATTTCTAACTTTATATGGAATCTCTTGGGCCTGAAGCTTGGTGAGGCTGGTGTTAAGGAAGATGGGAGTTATTAATGAATTTTGGGCTTCAGCCCAGGCAAAGCAGGGGGTTTCTACTTTCTGAGATCATGAATATGGTCTCTCATTGGCATACCTTAACTTACTCAAGGGATGTGTTCTCCTAAAATAATATATAACCTAAAAACACATAGGTATAAAGCAATTTTACCTAAAAAAAATTTTTTTTGGCATCTTGGTCAAGTAGCACAACTCCTCTGAATCTTTCTTCATCCATAAGACAACAATGGATGGGGTTGTCCCTGAGATTCTTTCAAATTCTGCTACATCAAAATGACCAATATAAACATGGCTCTTTGGAAGAGAATGTTTGAAATTGGTTTTCATATTTAATATATAGTTCCTTTTAGTCCAACTCCCTTTTTTTCATGATAAGTCTTTCCTAATTGCTATGCAGATCAGATAACAAAACATGAGGCTTGCTTCAACTTCAGCTAAACAACACACCCTCTTCTTCCCCCATTCTTTCTCTTTTTATTCCTTAAGTTAAAAATAAGTAGACATTAAAACATTGAATAACCATTGAATATGAAAAAAAATATTTGAAACAATTTACTTCTTCATGAATAAAATTGAAAATTACACAATTTAGTATTATTATAGCAGATACACCATTCATCTCAGACTGTGTATACAACTTCACAAGTTATATAATTTTTACACTATTATGACAGATTTTTTTATTTTGAGGAAAAAAGTACTGTAAACTAGGATTCATAATAGATACCAAATCAGTCATCATTAGATTCTGCCAACTCTTTTGGTGTTTGTTGAAAGGCATACTTTAACATGCCATAATTTTAAAATGACTAGGCATATTTTGAAACTGCACACTATAGGAAGACCAGATGTGAGAGCTGCTAGATTCAGAGACCTCCCTCCCCTGGACAGTGTCAAACACTATTATCATTTCAGACTGAGTGGGGGGCTTGCTTGTCAGGGGAAAGCACTAATCTAAGTCCTTTACTCTAAGACCTTGAGTGATCTCCGTGAGCTGTAAACTGATTCTGAGTGAGAATCAGTGAAAGGGAGGCAGAAAGCAGTAGCTGCTTTAGATCCACTCTTTTTACAAAATGAGATGGGACCCTGTGTAACTCTGTTCCCATGGAGGGTAGCAGAGGGTAAAGGAAACAAGAAAACAAATACAAACAGAGTGGGTAGGGCAAGGGACCTGTCTAAAACAGCCCTGATAATCATAGTCCCCTTTAATCTCCCTGTGGCAAACATGCTTGGGAAGCCAATACACCTTCTGATGAGCATTGGTAAACATTCACCCAGAACTCAAGAGTGTCAGTGTGGGCTCTAAATGGTTAATAGTCTTGAGGAAGCCAGTGTGATGCTCCTGCTACACCTGCTTTTGTCCATCCATGTAGACCCCCACCTTCTGTATAGATACACCAACGATAGATTAGGCTAAAGTGACACTGTTCTTTCTTCTCTTAAGAGGCATATCTCTCACCATGACATGCTCATTGTATAAGTAACTTTATTAGAATTTTAAGTCTACCGCCTTGTCCCTTGTCCTGAGTCTATCCCTATCTCTGTTATTAACTAATTTGATGCAGTCATTCAGTCACGGAGCAGCTCAACTTCCTCATCTGTAAAATGGATTTTAATGGGCCAATGATTCTTAAGTCTAGTTGCTCATTGGAATTTTCGGGGGAGCTTTTAAAAATAAAATTAAAGCACAATCTCTGAGGGCGTAACTTGAGTATTAATATTATTTTTAAAAGTTCCCCAGACATTTAAAAGTCTCCAGCAAACCCGTGTTGAGCACCGAAGGCTCTTTTGAATGAATATCCTATGACTCTCTGCTGAATCATTTTCAGCAAACCACTTAACTCTTTACTTTGGTTTTCTTCACCATGAAAAGGGAACTTGAGAGACAGTTTTGCAACAGAAAGAAAATAATCTGTAAAGTGCCTAAAGTTCATCAGAGGAATATGCACTACTAAAAAAAAAAAACCCCAGGAATTTGCATACTGGCTAAAGTAGCACTAATAATTCACACTTATTAAGCATTTGAACATATCAGACATTTTTCTAATCCCTTAGAATGAGTTATCTTTTTGAATTCCTACACCACGCAAAGGGAGAGTACTATTTTCTAGTTTGGAGATGAGAAACTGAGGCATAGACAGGTTAATTATAGCCGATGTCAGAGATCGAATTCAAATGTAGACCATGTGACTGGAGTCTAGAGCCTGTGCTTTTAAACTCTGCAGTACTATGAATTTCTCTCTTTCTTTTAAATGATATATCCAGATTCCTGTGATGAAGTCCAGATTAAAATCCACTTTATTCCAAAGAGTGTACAGTTGAATCCCTACCTATTTCAGAATATTTGGCCTGAGCTAAAGACAATAGCCCTGACTGTGAAAGGTTACAGTTTGACAGACTAGAGCAGAACTCTAGCCTGGGTTTTAAGGAAGTATGAAGTGTTTCAGTAAGTAATCGAGGAGATATAAAAATGAGAGGCTGAGATGTAAGATCATAAAGCTCATTATTAGGAATCTCTCTTCTGTCCAGCTCACAGTTGAGGGTGGTGTGTTCTAACTGGGGCTGGATTATTGTAACCTTTTTTACTACTATGGAGAATGATGGAAATCATCTCAGGTTGAGCTTTGACTGGCCTTACAAAGCTGCTCCAAATAGAGGCTGCCCTCTTCTTTGCATATGCAAAGACATGTCCCTACCCCAGACCACACCATCTCTTGTCTGAACAACTGTTTTAGCCTCTTACTGGTCTTCCTGTTCTACCCTGGTCATCCTTAAGGTGACAGAGTGATATTTCTCAAACTGTAAGTCATATCACATCAGCCCCCTGCCTGCTTAACACATTGATTGCCAAAAAATTTCCTTGGAGTGTTTTCTTATGAAAATAGAGTAAAAACTTGGAAACCAAAGCGATCCTAATTGAATAAAACATTTGTTATTTTTTATTGTTTTCTGTGAGTTATATGCAATTAAATTATCAATATTAATTGTAACAATAAGGACATCAACAAATAAGATTTTCATGAATCAACTGCAGTTGTGTATGCTTCATGAGGCCCCCAGCTCAAAACTAGCATGAGTTAAACACAACTCACATGGCAGTTAATGTGTTAAGATCCTTTAGTGGCTTCCTATCGTCTTAGAATTCAACTCCAACCCTTACAACAGCC